TAATCTGACTTTGTGTCTCAGGGCGGCTGTTTCAGGTGGGTTTGGGCAAGGATGCATGCAAAAGCTGCACAACAGTGGCACTTCAGGCCTGACATTGCATACCCCTGCTTTAGAGAAAGCTAAACATTACAAAATGATGAAAGTTTAATGTGATATTCTTATGTAATATCTATCTATCTATCTATCTATCTATCTATCTATCTATCTATCATCTATCTATCTATCTATCTATCTATCTATCTATCTATCTATCTATCTATCTATCTATCTATCTATCTATCGATCTATCTGAAACAATGGTTTCATTGTTGTGCATAAAATCTTTTTAGTATTTTCTCTTATTTATGCTATACATTCAGCATTAAAAAGCAATTGTTTAGTGTCCCAGATGCCGACTTTCATTAATTTTTCTACATATTAGTCCAGGTTCCCTATAGTATTAGTAATAAGCTGTGCTCCCCTCTAGGTAAGCACAATGGGACTGTCCAGGACAGGGTGTATTTCCGCTGTCCCCCGGGCCATGGTGTGTTTGTGAAGCCATCTCGACTCACCAGAGGACCTCCCTCCATGGACACAGAGCCCCAGACTTTCATCAAATAGGACCCAAAGAAGAACCTGATTTCTGGGGAGAAGCAAGGACCCAGAAGGGCCCCCCCTCCCTCACATGCATTGTTCGACTCTGAAAGCTGATTTCTGACCACTCATGTCTCAGAGCCCTTGTGCTCTGTTGGTGTGGATGCTTTGCTAAAAGGCATATCTTACCTGTGCATTTAATGAAGTATTTTGTAGTTGCTGTTCACTAAAAAAAAAGAACAAAATCACTATGCACATATTTGAGTTTTCTATATTGTCATATTTTTATAGAGGGCTCACCTTTTATCTGAAAATATTATCCGCCTAAGTTTTCTTACATTGCTTCTGGAGAATATATGTAATTTATATTGCAGATCGCGCCCCTCTCTGAGGCTTATCATGAAGTGATCTGGGATTTGAAGATTAAGAATGTACTACTGTTTATAAACTTTGATATTTACATCAATATGTCACGTCAGGGCTAACCAAAGAACTACGGTTCCATATCTGCTGTTCAAGTGTTAAGTTGTTTTACTTCTATTATAGCTATACATGGAGATACTCATTACAAATCGACATGTCCAAGTAAAGCTTAGTGCCATATCTGTAGGAGCAATGCCACGTAAATGTATCGTCCTGTTGATGTACTGTAGCACTGTGGAGGAAATAACTCCCCGTTCGGCCTGAGACTGAATGAGGAAAGGTTGCACTGGAAAGGATTCTTGGGAAGCTCACCGACTGTCTTCCGTACAGGACTCATTAAATATTAACCCGACGACTGTTAGTCATCGCTCAGAGGTCCCGATATAAGATACACGCCTTATTGTTATTTGCAAATACCCCTCCCCCCTTCATGACTACTCAGAGAGAAGTATAAAGAGTTTGATACCTGTGAACTGTTTCTGAAGTGTAGAATTCGAGCCCTCCTTTTAATGGAGGATTTGTTGAATAATTAAAAACAACAGGTTGGTTAAGGTAAGAGGATAAGACTTCCTTGAAATTTTTTTTTTTTTTTTTTTTTAAAGGTTTTGTGTCCAGGATAATAAACGAGCTGCAGTTTCACTTAAATAAAACAAACCCAAGACCTTACTTTAAAGAAGAGAACAAAGCTGCTCTCCCTAATAAGGAGTTCTTTATGTAAATGTTTCTGAACATAGTATTTCCGCTATTGTATTGTACAGAATTGTATTTATATTGTATCTTGTTTTAATTGGTACACAGTGTTCTAGAATAGAACATTTCCAATCAGTTTCTGTGTGCTGTCTGCTCATTTCTAACACTGGTGGAGTGAATTGCTTCGTTAGGTTTGGTTTCAGCACTAGGGCTTTATTTCCTATGCAATAATTTTTTTAGGCTCTATGGCCTTTATTTTGTTATTTTTTAAAGTATGTAGACAGGAAAGTGGGTTACAAGAGATGGGAGAGACATCCAGCAAAGGTCAGCAGTGTGCCATTATTTACATGAATATGGAAATGTGTCAGTTTCCTTCTCCATCCAATGATTCTAGGGTCCATCCATCCTGCTGATCATCCATCAATCTATCCAGCCTTAGGATCATTTTAGTTTATGGGATCCAATCATCGTCCAGAATACCATCCAACTGCCAATCCATTTATCTATAATCCTTTCATCTTCCTGTCCATTCATCCTGTGATGATGTCGCCCCAAAGCATGATGCTACTACCTTCAGGCTTAACAGTACAGTCTTCTAGATTTGAAAGCATCATCTTGACTAGTCAGTTATTTAACGCTGTTTTTTCTGACTATAAAACTTTCCATATGAGTGAATACATAGTTTCATAACTTTTAACCGTGGCAGTTTCCCAACAACTTCTGGAGTTCTGGAGTGGGGGAAGAATAGAGAGAGAAAAGCATCAGAAGGTGCTTTGGTTTTCTTCCTGATCTTGGCAAAATAATGACACTTTTGAATCATTGTATTTAATGTTAAAAGTTTTAAATGAAGGTCTTCAGATCAAGTGTGGTTTACGATTGGCTCATAATTTTTTTTTTCTCCTTGTAGAAATCAACTATTTTGCATATATCTTATGGATCCCTTGGACTTTTCCATTGTTCTGACTTGTTATACAAGTGATTGTGATTACAACAGCCTGCTCTGATGTTGATGGAAAAGAGGAATTAGCAGCTGCAGTTTGTACTAAAGAGACGTAAGGCAGGCGTATACTTCCACTTTGTGCAGCAGTCAGACTGCTGCAGGAATGTTTTACAGCAGGAATCAGCTAACTTTACAGCCCAATCAGAAATATTTTGCAGGTTAAACAAAATTATCAAAATAGCTTAAAACTCCATAAATGTGTACAGTTTACAACCTATTGAGAAAAACAAATTACTTTATATAGGAAAAGGAGCTCACATTGTTAGTGTCACTCTTTAAAGAAATGTGTGTAACTGCATGAAAACCCCCTGCGAAAAACTGATAAAGCTAGCCCAATTTTTATTACATTAACATCTTAAAGCATTACTATTAAATTTTGGGCTGAAGTTATTCAAGTCATAGAGGAGGGTGTAAATAACATGAGTGGCTCTAGACAGGTGCTAGTGCCCATGTAGAACATGTTATGGTCCCTGTACTGGAAACACACACAACATTTTCATATAAGTAGGCTTCTTAAAGTCAGTGCATTTTAGCTTGAAATAAAGAGGTAAAACAATTTGCAGATAGTAAAAAATTATTTAGGTTTAAAATAAACATATCGGTCCTCTAATTTTAAATGCTTATTAATCTTTGCAAATTAAGGACAAATACAAGTATTTAAGGGATATTTTTAATATATTATTTTGCCTAGACATGTCATTATTTCCAACCATACTAAGATTGGATCAAAGTTTTTATCTGTTAGATCAGAAGTGTCCCACCTTGGCTTTGTGGCTCTGTTAGTATAGTAACAATGTGCTCTTTTCCTATTTGTGTGCTGTTGTTTTTTCGTTTTGTTTTTTGGTGAGTGGGTATGTTATTATTTTGCCCTGGTCTTCATGAAAAAAGCATAAACCCCACCCTGGGACCCACTGGAAAATTTTGTCTAGAACCGACACCGCTATAGACCTTTTTTTTTTTAAAGATTATAGATTTTAGAAACATTTCAGCATGTTTTATTTATTATTTATAATTAATTTTAAGTGAATTGTGGCAAACACTAATAAAACATTTGTTAGTAATGCACCCTTTGCAAAGTAAGAGTATAAAATGATTGTAAAGAAAGTAGGGCATCAACTAACGATTATTTTGCCAATCAATGTGTTGATTAGTTTTTCAATTAATAATCAGATGGCAAAAGGTTCCTTAGAAGAAGACTTCTTACGAAATTAAACCAGGTGAAACTAAACCTTTTCCACTCGAGGAGTTCTGGATAGGACCAGAGGCGTAGCCAGAAATTTTTTATAAGGGTTGCAATAACCAATGTATATTGAGGGGTGGCCAAAGGTGGATAGGCACCAGAACCTCAGGGTCAATCTCTGTTCCAACAGGAACAAGCACAACGTCCATATTCCTAAATAAAGATAAACTATAGTTTCCTACAGAATTCGCTAATAAATAGATGTATATATTTAAACATCCGTCTAGATAAAAGCTATGTTGGATAAAATTCTTTGAGGTTTGCGTTCTGGAGCGAGCATCTTGTCCATCGTCATTACTTACCTACTTTTATCAATCTTCTACATTAAATTGATATTTACAAGTACTAATATCTACATGAATTGATAATTTTATAGGTTTTTATTAAAATCGTTATTCGCGGTATCTATGATTTCACTGAAGACTCTTAGATGACTTGCCGAGACACATTTTCTCTTTATTTCATATAACACAAAATCTAGTTCTGAAAGCATGAATTCTGTACTAATCGTCTCTAATGTTGGTATATTGGTGTGCATAATTAACCACAATGTTTTTGTTGTCAGGTAATTTTTTGTATATATGAAATTAAACAGTTTTAAATATTGTACTTGAGAGGAAAAAATGGTAGGGGTGGCCAATGATTGGCTAAGGGTGGCCATGGCCCCCATCCAGCTCCGCCCCTGGATAGGGCATATTAACAGATGGAAACGTTTTTGTTTGTTTTTTTTTATCTTGAATGCAAAATGTTTACATACATTTTTGACAATTTTGGTATAATTACTCTACTAAGTAGGTCGCTCTGTCAGCTAAAGGCCTGTTTTAGAGTCCCTATAGCTGCATGATTAATCGATTATTAAATTAGTCGACGATTATTGAAATTATTGATTAATCGCGATTATTATGATTAATTGTTTCAGCCCTAAAAGAAAGAAAGCCCTTTTTCCAAAGTCTTTGTTGTCTCTGGCCTCCATTGGCTGTCCCAGCAGCTGTGGGCCAGTAGGTAGCCTGAACTCTGAGTGGTGGTCCACAGACATGGGTGGAGTTAAGTTTGTGTCACTGGAGCTGACAGCTGGGAGAGCTTCATAACAAATTAACAGGTGTGATCCTCCTGGCTGGCTCTGTCAGTCCAGCTCACCCCCCTCACCAATCAACCACGCGCCTTTCGTTCTCTTTAACTTCACTTTAAAACTACATTTAAACAAATCGGAACAAATGATGCATTCGGCACAGAAAGACACCACCTTCACCAAGATCTTCGTGGGAGGTCTTCCTTATCACACCACGGACTCCAGCCTCAGAAAGTATTTCGAAGTGTTTGGAGACATCGAGGAGGCTGTGGTTATCACCGACCGACAGACGGGGAAATCCAGAGGTTATGGATTTGTAAGTAAAAACCTGTTCATCAAACGGCCTTCAAGGCCTGCGGGCTGTCATGTAAAGAAACTCTCAGGTTTATTGACATTTTCATAAATGTTCCGACTTTATATTTGCAAGATGATTTGGGGGGAAAACTCAATTATGATTTTTTTTTTTAAGCTATATAACAAAAAAACAAACAAAAAAAATACAAGTACTTATTAAAAAACTTTTTAAAAAAAATCATATTGACTGGCTTTAAAAGATGTGGAGAAATGTTTTTGAGATGCATGTCATGTTGTGATATGGGTTACAGGCTGATGGGTTTTCAGATTTAATTCCATTAAAAAAATATTTCAATATAATAAAACATTTATTCTTTATTCTTAAAAGCAGACTATCATTATTATCACATTTATTTGTGTTCTGACACTTTTGATAAATACATGAATCCTTATGGCAAAAATGGAGAAACACTTAAAACTGAAAAAACATGAGGGGAAAAAAACAGCAAGCAAGCTGAAAAAATTGCCAAAGGTTAATGATGTCACTTTGGATCACTTAGGCTTTCTGTCTCTATAGTACTTTTCAGTTTGTCTATTCAAAAAGTCAAAATGTATTTGTCCAGTGAGAAGGATTAACTCAGGAGAAATATAGATGTGGAAGTTCAAGACCAAATTAACTAGGGGCCCTGGTATTTATTTTCATTTATTTATTTTTGTATTGGTTTCAATAGGGCACTAAACAAAAAAATAAATAAAATATGGCATTAGTTTATTGTTCAATATATTAAGACAGAAATGGAACCAACAACTTAAATATATTAATTTTAAAATGAATTATTAAAATAAAACTGTAAAGGTAAAAAATTTAATAGATCCAATCGACCAATCAGTGAACAGTTTGTGTCAGCACTTATCCTAACAAGAAATTTTAATGTTCCTTCTTGAGCATCAGTTCTACAGTGGCTCTGGCCCCTGTTGGCCCCTATCTAGAACTGCCCATGTCAAAGATGAACAGCTTGCAGACCTGAAAAACCATCATCCTATAGAGATGAGATATAAAAATAAATATCTATGTCGATTATTCTGCCTGTAAACTGCCAAAAACTGAAATTCTGACAGTATTCAGATGGACATTGTCATTTCTAGTTCTTCTCTGGGCGGCGTTGTTATTCTTATGTGCACAAGCAGGCAATTAGAACATACCTCTCAATAGCTTTTTATTTGCAAGTCATACCATGTTTATCTACAGTAAGCATCATTTTAGTCACTTTGTCATCCATAGCTAGCTTTCTCTTTCTAGCGTCACTTCAAGATAATGTTGCTCAAGTAGTATTTTATACATATATGTATATGTATATATATATATATATATATATATATATATATATATATATATATATATATATATAGGCAGCAGCAGTTAGTGAAACGTGTATTTGGTTCAGGAAAAGGGAAAAAACTACCTAATTCAAGTTTTAAGTTTTGTAAAATTTCCTGATCTATTGTACTGTAAAGGGACACAGAAAGTGCTATAAAAGAGCTAATTTTCTTACCTGATAAACCTCATAAACAGCTGTGTCACCTAAAAAACAACTGTGCATTCAAACATTTGAGTTAAAAATGTTTCTTTCTCTTTACAGCAGTAGATATTTTATGTAGAAAAATTGTCAGTGTAACCATTTAGATTCATACAAAATCCTCAATATTTGCTACTTGTTTCCTTTTTTTTTTTTTTTATAAAGAGCGGCTTAGTTGCACCTATTGTTCTTGTCAAAAAGGGTTTTCTGACTACCAATTGCTGATCCTACTTACTGTTAAAGGTAACCATGGCAGATCGGGCCTCAGCTGACCGAGCATGTAAGGACCCCAACCCCATTATAGATGGAAGGAAAGCCAATGTGAACCTGGCCTATCTGGGGGCCAAACCCAGGGTCATTCAACCAGGTGAGGAATATAAATACACTTACCCTTGTCAACAAACTGTGGGACTAATGCAGAAGTTCATAAAGGTTCCAAACTTATAATAAATGTTAAATAAAGAAGCATATCATCCATTTAGCTTAACATTTGAAATTTTAAGTCACAGTTTTTTAAATCTCTCTCTTTATCTTAGGTTTTGCATTTGGTGTGCCTCAGATCCACCCTGCCTTCATCCAAAGACCATATGGGTATGATCAGCAATGAAACTCCTGTTTTTCTTACAAAATCTGTCTGTATAAAAATGGACAAACAAGCTAAGATCAAATATCTTTTTTGAATTTACATACATTGTTACCTCCACCTTTTTTCCCCCACATGAATGAGGACATGTGAGTGTCTATGTGAGCTCCTCTGCTTGAGGGTTGACTGTGAAGGAAGTGCACATATGTCCCAGGGCCACTGCAGGACTTGACTCCATGCTGTCTTGTCTCTCTCTGATCTGACAGGCTCGGTAACGGTTAAAATAGCTGATGGGGGGACATGATGATTTGAAGGAATAGCTGAGTCTGCATTGGGCAGAGCGCTAAAGTGTTACCTGTATACTGTGACATACACAAACGAACCGCAATGGTGACTAGATGCATGAAAGTATTTGGTTGTTCTTGTTTTTTTTTTTTTTTTTTTTTTTTCCAGTTTTCTTATAGTACATAGATTGGTGTGTGCCTTGTTTTCAGTATGATGTGGTGTTCAGCTTAACTGTGTGCCTATTTCTACTTGCAGTGGGGAGAAGTGGGGCGTGCAGAATGGGCAGATTTGAACACATTCGATAGGGAGTTATAACTCTGCAATGGAGTGTTGATTCTTTTTTTTTCCCTTTTTAATAATTGTGCGCTTGTGGTTTCTCTTTTTTTTTGTTATTGTTTTTTAATTTCTTTGGTTCTCGGTTTCTAGTTAACATGACGTGTTTTGTTGTGCAAGGGGCGGGCCGGAGATCATTCACAACGTGTTACTTTAAAATTGTCATCCCTTGCAACAAAACAAACACTGGCTTGCATGTGGGAGTTGATTTTCTGTTCACCTTACCCCATGATGCTGTGTTCTTATCTTATTAACATAATAATTTAATTTTGAGATCAAATCAACAGACTCCCCAAACTCATCTGTTTTTTCTTTAACTGTATATTTAGATGAATCTGGCAAAAAAAAAGTGTGAGATTTAACACACAAAATAACAAATTCTGTTTTTTGAAGAAAGTAATTTAATAATGGTAAAGACTTTGACAACCCTCAGGCTGTAGATGAGTGTAAGTAAGACTTGGACCAGTTCATATCATAATATTCCTCGTCTTAAAATAATTTTTAATGAGATGTAAGAGAAAGCATGGAGCTCAATGTAACACCTCCTCTTGCTGCTGTACACTGCTGGTAAGCTGGCTGAAGTAAGGTTTTTGGAGAAGAAAAAAAAAATCTGGTTATAAAATCAGATTATATATGGGATTAACACCATTTATTGATATACCATTTATTCATGCTTCCACATTAACACAAAACAGGAAAGATTCCCAAAACACAATCTAAGAGCCAAGAATGCCCTTCTTGTTGTCAAAGTCTTCTCAAATAAATTATATTAAAATTTATTTTCATGCCTTTATTTTCTATTTATTTACCACTTTAAGCTCTAAAAACAATTTTCCTTGTAAAGCCAGATTTTACAATGTATTTCAAAATGTATTAAAATACATTTTAATCATTCTTCACTTTTATTATTTCTAGCCAGTTTGCAAAAGTCTAAAACGAATATACAACACTATAGAAAACATGTTAACATGCAACACCTGGAGACATACCAATGCTTTAACAGCCAAATCAATGAAGGTAAACAAAAATAAGGAAAACACCTATTATCTTATGAGGGTTAAAAGTGCATTTTTCAAGCAATTTTGAACAATTCATAAGGATGCTATTTGTTAACTACAACAGCAGATTTCCTCACTATTTAGTCAGCTAATACCATGTTTGATATATGTGTGGTACCCAATAAAGAGCAAACAGGTTTAATATTCTGCACAATAATTGTATTTACTTAAAAGATTATACAGAATCCAGGAGATTTTTATATTTTAGCAACTTGAATGACAGCCCAAGAACTTTAATATTAAAGGTTGTATTTATTTTAGCAACAGTAGGACTATATTTGCTGAATGTTAAACCCAGTTTATCATGCAGTCAGAATATCATACTTACATACTCATACTATGAGAATCTCATAATTATAATTACTCAGTTACATTTACTTGAGTAAATTTTAGGAAAATGTTATTTTAGAGTAGTTGTATTTTGCCATACTTTTAACTTTTATTTAAGTAATATTCTTGTGAGAGTATTGCTACTTTTACTTGCCTAGAATTTCTGGTCGCTCTACCCACTAAGACTAACGAGCTATTTAGAGTTTAGGTTAAAATGCAGTAAACCTCCTTCTTTTTCTGCCATGATTACATAACCTACTATTAAGATTGGTTTGATAATTTTTTTTTTGAGAACTTGGGGTGGAAAATAACTTTTTACTCTTACCAGAGTCATTTATTGGATGACTATTCTTTTATTTGAGTAAATAAATGGTAAAATAGTGCTACTCTTTCTTGAGTAAAATTCTTGGGTGCTCTACCTCTACCTCTGGCCCTTGCCTACTTTAGATGTGATTATTCATTGGTTGAATCCATGAAAGATGGACAAGATGCCTGAATCAGACTTTAGGTTGGCCACGGAGAACCTGGGGCTCAGTTAGACAGCAGCTGTTGGCCACAGTGATCTCCACAGCGTCTCAAATTCTCTTGGAAAATAGGAGTCAGTCAGTGCACTGTTAATAATGTATGGCACAGACGGGGTCGTTTCAGCTTTGGGCAACAGGTGTGCCGAGCCATGCGCCCATGAAGGCTTTGGGTTATGTGCTGGGGATTACCCATGTGTTCTGGTTATTTACAAAGCACCTTTATTTAGCTCTCAACTTTTAGGATGATGAAATGTTCCTCTGATTTTGAACAACAGTAGTTCACTTCTTTTTTGCATGAAAATGAAAAGTTATAGAAGTTTTTTTTTTTTTTTTTCTTTTCTGATTTCAAATGACTAAAAACCAAATGCCTTATACATTCTAAAAAGAAGCATCATAACAACTGTGTCCCAATTATTTGGGACTCTTGAGCTTTGATAATAAAATATTAAGGAATGTAAATGAAACCGTAGGGCAGGGACCAGCACTCTAACATGTGCACCGAAGGATAAGATCAGCTTGTCCTTTTGAGATGACAAGGGGAACAAAAATAGCATGCTCCCAGCCTCTCCTGTCAGTCAAGTTGACTATGTCTGTGTGGGGAATGTGTCTAAAGAAGAGAGGGGGGCACTTATCTGTGGACAGATATGTTTCGCACCTGTTCCTCTGTTTAGTCACTGAGGGTGACTTCAGCACAAATTGGAATCGGGGACAAGTCTCCCCAGATACAGAGATTCCCGTTTAAGTGCCTATGCCAAAGTATTCAGATCTCCTGAACCATTTTATTTCAGTTTCCACTGTTTACAACTACAAACCAGCAAAACTTGGTCTAATATTATTAACAGTTTTGTGAAAGGCCAACAGAAACATGAACATTGTTATCCATAACAAAAAATAATTACACCAAAACAGCATAATTGTTTTTTTACTTTAAGAATACAGTGTGTGTTTGATTTTACCCACTGTTTCTCTAATATCTGTAAATAATTTAATTGACCCAGATTGAGGTCAGGGGTTTAGGTGGCTTAAAGTGTGAAACGCGGTTAGGTTGTTATGCAAAATCCCTAAGAGTTTAACGCAACTGGAAAGCATCAAAGATGCAGACATCCACTAAACTGAAAGAAGAGAGCATAATTTAGAGGAGCAACCAGGAAGTCAATGTTAACTCTTGAGGAGCAGCTCAGGTTGGTAATTCTGTTGACAGGACGGCTACCATTTGATCCATATGGTAAAGGATGCCATTAATTAGAGAAAGCCAAAAATACTTGGGTAAGATGGATTGAGGATTGTGGTTGTATGATGGTGCTAAAAGTTCAAGGGGTATGAATACTTCTGCAATCCCTCTGACCTTCACGTTTTTAACTTCAGATGGAATTCCCTTTTGTGACACATTCTCTCTGAATACTTATTAAATAAATGTTTTTTATTCTTATTTTTTCTTCAAGATCCACTGTATTCTTATCACGCTGTCATTTCAGACATGGATGTGATTTTGTTGTAGGACGTATTAACATGTGTGGGCATGCCAGTATGTGTGGTGTTTTGCCAGATGGTGGACAGAGAGAATAATGTCCACTTGTGGTGTTTTTAGTGACAAGCTCGCATTTTGTCAAATATGTTGTTTTGTTTTTTCTGTGGTGCAGAGCTTGGCCGTGGCTTCTTAAAATGTCTCACAGTGTTTTCGATTCAGGTGCATTTTTTTTCTCTTTTTTTCTGAATTAAAAGCTGCACCCGTGTTTCTTTGTGGTTTTGCTGCTTTTATTTAACTTTTCAGTTCTAGGGAGGTTATCTCTCCCCAACCCCCCCTCCAGTTGTTAATGAATGGATTTGCTGTGCTCTGAGGACTGGATTGACATATTTGGCACCTGCTTTTCAGTTTTCCAGAGTATTTATGTATAAATATATATTTTTAATTCTAGTTTCAAAGTTTGGAAGACAACAGACTGATGCTTTTCTCTAAACCTGTGAATGTTTCTGTCCAACAGGATCCCGGCCCATTACGTCTACCCTCAGGCCTTTGTTCAGCCCAGTGTGGTGATCCCTCATGTACAACCTTCTGCTGCTACGGCAACAGCCGCCGCTGCTGCTGCAACCTCCCCATACCTTGACTATACTGGAGCGGCTTATGCCCAGTATTCTGCTGCTGCCACTGCTGCAGCCGCCGCCGCAGCTGCCGCTTATGATCAGTACCCCTACGCTGCCTCGCCGGCGCCCACAAGCTACATGACTACAGCCGGGTATGGATACACCGTCCAACAGCCGCTCGCCACTGCTGCAACACCTGGAGCCGCTGCAGCTGCTGCAGCCTTCAGCCAGTATCAGCCACAGCAGCTCCAGACAGATCGCATGCAGTAAAACCACAATGGTCACCTTTTTCTACCGGCATTTTTAACTGTTCACCAAAGAGCTTGAAGAAAAAAAAAGCGAGAAGTGACTCTTTTATCCAAGTGCGATCAGTATTGGATGTATATGAATATTTAATATTTATTCAGCATTAGAATATTTCATGTTAAATGAACAAAATTTGCTTGACCTTCCGTGAACTGTTGCTGAGATTTATTTATACAGTCTGGAATCTTTTATATGACACTCCCAAATTATATTTTATGATCAGGTCTTTTTTTTTTCAATAAAAAAAAAAAACACACACACAAAAACACTCAAATACATGAAAAGAGTGGGTCATATGATCACCCACTTCTGTATTTCATAGTTTTGGACCATTATTTTTTTTAACGGTTTGCAAAGATTAAGACAGAAGTACATATATTGTTAGAGGGATTTGTTAAACAGCATTTAGAGAGAAATAGGGTACTTTCCCCTTAATGGTTTGCTTTAAATTGTATTTTCTTGATGGCACATATGAAATATGACAACAGAAAGCTGGTAAAAGCACTCACCTTTTCTTCCCTTTGCTTAAGCAAATTGGAAGGAAAAATCTGCTAAATGTGAATCTTATATTTTGATAAAATATTTCCACTGTGTGCCTTTTTAAATTATGCTATTTATGTATTTATTCAGGAGCCTTAGAGCAATAAACGCTTTATTTAACAACACACGTAAGTATAAGGCCTGCTGTTGAACATGTCCACATGTCCTGCTGCATTTCTCATGATCAATAGCATGTAATGTTGAAGTTAACCTGGTATAACTGAGTACAGTGCTGTATAGCAAACAAATATGTAAGCAGGCGCTATAAATTTAAAGCCTATTTTTGTTGTTTTTCTCTAGTTTTTATGTTTTTTCTAAGGTTTGTGTCTCTTAAACATATCTTTTTATACTTGGCCTGTTTGATAAGGACAGGGCTTAAACTGCATGAACTGTTAACTTGTTGACGTCTCTTGTCTTTTGACATTAAAGGTTTTCAAATCCAGGTATAACGGCTGTTTATCTTGGAATGCATGATTCCAAATAAGGCACTTTGGGAAATAGAATAAAATGTTCCTCATACTGAGTCTTTGTGCTCTGTTTCTTCCCAATCCTTAGGAGACGAATGAGACAGTGTTCAACTTTTTTCTGTATCCTCACCCTCTGCTTGACATGTATTTTACAACTGCTAAGTCAGAATCGGTGTTTGAGAAAAGTACACGTGTTTATGAGAGAGCTTATAGATCGCTATTTGCTTTGACATACTACTTATCTGCTATTTATCTTTTGAGTCTTTTAAGTTTCCATGATTTTGTTTCGATTACCTTTTTTGTGAAATCTGTAGGTGTTCAGGACAGAGCATCTTATCTGCATTACTTTGAATTTTTTATATATATATATATATATATATATATATATATATATATATATATATAATGTCTTATAATTGTTCTTGCAGATATCACATGGTGATTGACATTTAAAATAATAGGTTATTAAAATAAAGAAAAAAAATTTGGTTTTGTAGTTTGGATTTTATTAAAATTTTGATTTATAATCAATAACATATGTCATTTTCAATTTTACTTTAACTTTTCAAGTTTTTGAATTATGAGGGATTTCTATATGGAATGCTCTGTTTTAATTGGGCAGTATCAGGGCATTTTTTGACTTACTCTAGTTTCTTGTCGCTACATTCATCATACAAACACGACGCATTCAGAAACCTTGAATCGCAATAACAGTTTATTCGGTTCGCAAAAAATAAACTGTCTAATTCTGCATGAAATTTTTCAATTAACTGAAAACAAAAAACATATACTCCATCATGGTTATCCTTGCTGGGGTCATGAGGGGTGCGAGTACCCATTTCTAGCTGTCTACAGGCAAGAGGCGGGGTACACCCTAGACAGGTCATGCACAGGGAGACGTGCAAAATCCATGCAAGACCCTGGGCCGAGAATCGAACCTGGAACCTTCTTGCTGCGCGGCAGGAGTGCTACCCACTGCGTCACTGTGCAGTCACCATATAGTTAATGGTGTTACTAATTCTTAATATTGATTGGAGTCGATATGTTGGGACAATTTTTAAATTGTATAATGATTTTAGATGAGAAAAGAGAAACTATATACTTTACAGCTTTTCCCTATAATAAGTAGATGTAACACAAATCTATGTAGTCCAATTAGATCAAGGCACTTGGACCTTATTAAGCTAAAAAGAGCAGGGTGACTTGCACCGTTGTTAACACTGCTGGCATGGAAGAAGGTCATGCATTTAAATCCAAGCCTGGTGTCTGAATGTTTTCCCCTTGCCTGCATGGTTTCTTCCAATCACAGTCAAAATAACATGAGTGTTAATAGGTTACTCTAAAATTACCTTTAGGAGGTATTGAGCAAATGAGCGAACAAGTGCGTGCATGCAATAGTTGCTTGTTCTGTGTGTCTGCAATGGACTGGCCACCTGTCCAGGGTTAGTTTAGGCCTCTGAACTACCTACATACCACTAGAAATACTTACCTCTGTCAGGAGCTTTAGATTTCAGAAATGAAATCGTCTTATTCTTATATAAGTGTGAATCTCCAAAAAAAAGTAATAATTTTTTCTCTATATTTCAGAAATAAAAATCAATGTTATTTTTTATTATACATAGAGCCAAATATCTGAAATATTTATTTTTGTAATTTTTTTATGAATATGGCTCAAAGATAATAGAAAATCCAAATTTAGTCTGTCAAAATTATAATATTCTTAAAAAGTTCAATATTGGAAACTCTTGCTTATCTTACTGATGGGTTAACTTAACTATTGCAAAGGTTTCCTGAGCAATTGGTCTCTGTCAGCAGGCCAAACAGTTCTATGAAAGACTTCTGACGTCCAGAAGACAGTCCTTGACCCCACACCACAAGAAGGTTAGGCAAGAGGCTGCTGCTAAGGAAACAAAGTACTATATCCAAATATATTCACAGAAAGTTGTGTGAAAGGAAAAGGTGTGCAAAGAAAAGATGCATCAGCAATACTGACTGCAGTTTTAAGATGATTAAGAAAAATCCATTTAGAATTTGGGAGATCTTCACCATGACTGAACTGAAGCTGGAATCAGAGCATAAAGAGTCACTATGCACATGAGCTACACATGTCCCAGTACTCGTGTCAAGCCACACCTAAATCTGAGATTGGGCTGTTACTTAGTGGTCCAAAGTCCTCTATTCTGATAAAGAAAATATCTAAATTTTATTTAGCAATGAATGTCCCTGAGGTGGAGGAAGAGTAGAGGGCCTATAATTACATTTTCTAGGCATCCAGATTGAAGTCGAAAAGAACCAGAAGCTGGTTTAATTACAATGGTGTTACAGTGCTTAATTGACCAGTAACAGCCTGACCTGAACTACATAGAGAATCACGGATTTTCAAGAGGAAGATGAGAGACAACATTAATGCAGATGAACTGAAGGTCATTGAAGGTTTTTACTCCTTTGGGACTTCCATAGACTGCTGGACTCCAGGCCATACTTCATTAATGCTGTAATTCATGCAAAAGGAGTCCAACAAATAAGTGTTGAGAGATAAGAATATTTTTTTTACATTATTAATATAATAATAATAATTTTTCAAAATTCCTGAGACACTGAACTTAGCAAAGGTTAAAATCAAGTTACCACTTCTTTTAGTGTCAGTACTTCTCTTTCTTGAAGCAATTAAAGGTGGCTTATATTCTGTTAATGAAATATTTTCAGTATAAGTTCTGAGCCCACGCATAAACTTGTGGTTTATCTTACTTTCGATTCCATTAAGGAATTTAAGGCGGGGGGGAAAAAAAGAAACACTGGAGAGTTTACATTAAAAACAACTACAGACCATGTTGCATTCAGGTAAAGTATGTGTAAACGTAGTAATGATTTTTCTAATTTTATTTAATGTAAAGAAATTGTTTGTATCGTTCTGTAAATGCATACTTAAAAAACACGACAATTACCTGTAATGTAAAAATATTAATTTGATAGAAACATGGCAAAAAAATGAGAATTTACTACTTAAATTATATTCTAACTTCTAAATACTCCGTACTAAAGCCGATGATGGATTTTTTTTTTTTTTTTTTTTTGTCGTTATAAATCACAAGTGCCATATTTAGCTGTTTGCTTTCTAATGTCGCTAATACTAAGAGCTCCATGTGCTTACACTGCTTATACGCCGTAGTAGTTCCCAAATTTCCAATCTTTTTTATTTGAAATGAATGCAGCAGCTCTAGCAATAGGTCGTCTGAAGAGGAAGTGTCACATCGAGTGGACTGTTTTAAGGAGCCGAGAAAACAACTCCTCGCATTAATCTACATTAAAGGAAAGATTCAGACTATCTTAAACAGCTTTTACCCTCTTGATAGTAAGTTATATTTTACTAATATCACTTTATATATTTCGGGGAATCCGACTTTTTCGGTGAAAAAAGAGCGGTTAATGAAGAAAAATCAGTTAAACTCAGAGTTACTTTTAAATGTCTGTTTTTTTAAGTTCAAGTAGATTTTTAAACATGTAGTACTCGGGTCTTGGTTGTAAAATAATTTTTATATGCCCTGGTTGAAACCTCGCGAGTCTTGGCTGAACTCGCTGATGTTTAAAAACCTTTTTGCTACTGAAGTTGTGTCTAAAATGACATGTAAAGTTTCTTCTAAAGCGCTGTTTAAGCCTGTATGCATGTAGAACTAAACAAAAAGAAAACCAAAACACGTGACCTCACGTTCAACCGCTGAGAATAGTTTCGATTGCTGATTTTTCCATTTGCAGGTGTTCTGTCTATTGTTTTCCGCACTTCATGTTTCTCCACTAGCTGCACTTCTATGCCATCATTTACGGCCTCATTAAACTCTGCTTCAAGTCTCGTCGTACAATGGAGACCTGTATAGACGTGTATCTTAAATTATTTAATAATATCCCTTTTAATTCATCAAATGACCAAAACTGATTTTCTTACCAAGCCATAAATATGATCCTTATCTATTTACAAGCAGGGGCTTCCCTAGAGGGTTTTAAATATCGGCGTCTGATGGTTCACCAGTGGTGATCTTGAGATGGCCCACAATGATAAAAAAGTTAAGAAACAGGCTTTTGGTTTTCTCCAGTTTATATTAAGTCTTTGATCATTTTTAATGCATTGTTACTTCCATGTGAAAACTGAGGTCCAAGACTCATCTTGCATTTTCCAAAATCATCTAATACATTATAATAACACCAAACACTTTATTTTATTGTGAGGTATCTATCCTGTTATGTTTGGTGTAAAGTAGCCTTTCAGAAAAAGAACATCAACACACAGTCAGACACAGTGGTGGTGGCATGTTGGCCTGTGGTTGCGTAGCTGCTTCATGACCTTGGCAGCTTTTAAAAGACAGCCTTTACTCTTGCTAAGTTTTATCTTTACATTTTTTTTTTATTCAAGTAAGGTAAAGTAGAACTATTTTTAAAAACTATTTTTAGACAGTAAATACTGTCCTTTTTTGAAACACTGTTATATAAGCTGCTAATAACTGTTCTTATTTTGTGTTTTTTGGTGGCATTTATCTGAGATGTCAAAAGTCTGGCCCTGAACGTAAAGTGTTACTGCACATTTTATGCAACATGCATGTGACACATTTTTCTTACGTCAAACCCAGAATATTTCAAGGTTTTCTTGTAATTTTTAGAAATGAGAACAAATGGGGGGGGGGGGGGGGGGGGGGGGGGCAGGTAATCAATTATTTATAATCACCTTTTGAATGTATAACATACATTTTAAAGGCAAAAATACAGCAAACGTTTTTATGATTTGCACCATTGTTAATGCTTTAGTCATTACATCCTTTCTTTTATTTTTTCCTCATTATTTTTCTCCTTAGCAGTAATTACAATAATTATAGAAATATATTTATTTCTATTGTTGCTCTTGAAACTGAGGCGCTGACATGATTGTAAGCCTGTAAAATATATCCTGACACATATTTTACAAAACTTTAATTTTTCATTTTGTCCTAATCACATTCTATGCACATATATTCATTTGCAAACTCAGATTTGCTCATTTGTTTGTATGTTTCTCTCCTCATCCAAACAATTTTACCTTTACTGTTAAAAGATCTCAGTCAAACTTTGTGGAGTATTATTTTATTATTATTTTTTATTATAAATTTATGTTGATGGTGCTATTCTGATAGTGGTTTGATGTGATCATTTTACAGCACATTTGAATGTATAGAACAAATTAGATTTTTCCTCAGATTCAGTCGTTTAATAAAACTGATATACAGGTGATTTTACTCATTTCAGTGCTGATGGTGTAGTGTACGAGGTGTACTTGAATGCACCATATATTAAATAGTAAGTATAGTAACGGCGCAACGGCTTTAGCGGTAAGGGAAAACCGACCTGCACCGGAAGTAATTGTTTTCACGTGACCTTGTTGATTCCTCTTTTTTTTTTTTTTTTTGTAGAGATTTTCAAGCTATAATCTGCCTGACATAACATTGTTTTCCGTTTTCCTTTTAAATAATTTTACCTGTATCTCCGGCAGGGATGAGCACCGAAAAGGACAACTACGCCCCCGTGGAGGTGGGCTTCTCGCAGCCTCCTTTCCCCGGTCATCCTAACCTTCCTGCCGCGTTCAGCGTCAACGCACCGGGCTCGGAGTCCTACGGCAGCGGCGGCGTCCTGGCCCCCGGCGGCCTGCCCTACCCCTCTCCTCCGGTGTTCCCCGGAGCCTCCGGGATGGAAGGAAAACTTCAAGATGGAAATTCAGGCTATGTTAACCCCAATTACCCCGGTTATGCTGAAAATGCAACACCATATTCCCCACCTGCCCCGGGCTTTGTTGACAGCTATATGGCCGGTAAAAGCTCCTCTATCTGCTGGTGGTATAGATACATGATTATTATTATTTTATATAATAATTATGGTTTTGTCTTTATAAGCTAATCCTTACCCGAACGAGGAGGCGCCTCCTCCCTTCATAGACAATCAAGACTTTGATTTTGGATTAGACAACAAGAGCATTAGAAGAGCTTTTATTAGAAAGGTAAGATCATCCTAAAATCATAAAAAAAAAGCAAATATATTTTCAAGTTTGGATCTTAAACAGTTTGTTCGGGGATAACCATTTTATTTCACACAAAAAACGATTTTCGTTTCAACAACTTCTATTTTCCATTACATTTTACTTAACCCCTTGAACCCTACGGACCCACCGGCGGGTCCAGCTGCTACGTGACCTCGTAATTTTACCAAACCCCCAGTATTGATGTAAAAAACATATTTGGCACAGTTTGGTGACATTTATGGATAAATGTGCCAAAATGGCCTCTCCGCCTAAGAAATTTCTCACTAATACCATTCTAAAATAAATATGATTCATCTGATTGAGTCCAAATTTGGTATATTTTTACACAACATTTAGATTTGAAAGTCTGTACTACTTTTTTGTACTATAAATAATATTTTGGTAGTGTTTTGCAATGTTTATTTCAAAGAAAATTTTGGCGAGGTTCAAAAAATGCAAAATATTTTGTATTTTGTCCCTAATATTTCAGGCAGGGTCAAAGCTACAATGGTGCTGACACCAGAAAACCATTCTATGACATCTTACCTTTACAGACGTACCAAAAGTTTCTTCTTAAATCTAATAGCTTTGAGGCTATAAGTTATTTACTTTTGTGTGTTTTTGTCAGGCAGAAATTTATTTATACCCCCTTAGGGTGTAAGAGGTTAATCCAACAAAAGTCATCACATTTGGACCTTAAGAAAAATCTTTCCATAGACGTCTTTGTCATGTTATTGTCATTTTCTCCCCGTCTATTCAACAAACACTGGCAAAACTGTTCAAATTTTCTGTTTTCAGCTAAAGTCCCTTTGACGTTAAAGAGGAAGTGTATAATTCACCTCAGGAATATCTCACCAGGCACTGATGGTTTGCTTACTGAAAGTAAAAGCTTCAGCTTTTGCAAACGTACAAGATTAGGGCTGGGTAAAAAAAATCGATGTCTACGGAATGAGATTGATTAGTACATGATGTTCACATTCAAATGAGCAGGAAAACTCAAGATTACTTCAAGCCAGACAGCTGCAAGTATATTCAATAGGTTGACTGAAGACATTAACAAATGGGGGCTGACCAGCAAACACCCTGTAGTTGTTACAGATAGGAGATAATGCAGCTCATGCATGTCTGAGTGAGTGAGGCTTCACTTTTTCACTTTTCACAAACAAGTTTGCACTTATAAGACAGTTTGTTCACATCTCAAGTTTAAACTATCTGATTTACAAGTTTGCACTTTGTGTTTAATATGACAGGAAAAGATAAAATACATGAGTATTTTGAAACACAGTTGAACCACTTTCATTACTGTAAAAACAGATCAAATCGAAATTAATTGATTTAGAACTTCATTAATCAAAATTGAATCGATTCAGGACTTTGGCAAAAATAACCAGCCCTATACAAGATAGATGCATTTAAAAGTTCAAAAAAAGGCAGTCATTGGGCGAATATTAAAGAAGACAATCACTTGTTAAAGTTATAAACCACTTGGCAGGATTGCTTCTTTAACAGATAGCCAAACTTTTAAGCAACCAATGGGATTATTATACCTCTGTTACTTTCTACAGGGAAATTGGTAAAGCAGTATGACGTCACTGGAATATAAAGGTTTCCTTCAAAAACTACAAATTTTGGCAGATGTTCCATTGTTGTTGGATGTTCTGAAAACGTGCCACTGTGGATTTGTTGTGAAACATTGCAAGGACAATATGGATCACTATTATTTTTAAATTCCTAAGTTATTCATCCTTCCTAAACATCTTGCTGTTTTTTTTTTTTTTTACGTAATCTGCTACATTGTACCTGCTCTATACTATTTTTGGAAAAAAAACTGTAAAATAAAACATTCTTTAAATATGACAGGCTGCCAAACATTGCATCCAAGCACTTCTAACAGTCCTATATATTCTTTACTGCAGGTGTACTTGGTGTTAACGGCTCAGCTCATGGTGACCTTTGCATTTGTGGCCGTGTTCACCTTTGTGCGGGAAGTGAAGTTTTTCGTCCAGACAAACATCTGGACGTACTACTTGTCCTACGGTGTGTTCTTCGTGTCGGTTTGTGTGATCAGCTGCTGCGGAAACTTCCGCAGAAGACACCCCTGGAATCTGGTGGCCCTGGTAAGGAAAAGTGGGTTTTGCAAGAGGAAGTGTGATGAGCAGGAGGAGGTTTCAGCACAGGAAATGGGGATGTTTTTCATGTAGCTTTTTTTTTCTTGACTGTTTCTGGTAGGAAGAAAAAAGTACAGATTGCAATGAAAGAAAAGACAGATTAAGCTGTTTTCCTGCTCTGCATTTTAAATGAGGTTTTCAATGTGTAGATGGCTGCTGATGTGGTGCGTTTGTTTGCTTTCCAGTCCATCCTGACTCTCAGCTTGTCCTACATGGTGGGAGCAGTCGCCAGCTTCCACAGAACGGAGTCTGTCATCATGGCGGTGGGAATCACCGCAGTCGTTTGTTTCACGGTGGTCATTTTCTCCATGCAGGTTTGTTTGGCTAAGCTGTCCCACCTTTGAGCCATGCGTGTTCATTTCACAGAAGGTGGCGGTAAGATAACTGATCATCTCGTTTTTATGGCCCACAGACCAAGTATGACTTCACTTCCTGTTACGGCGTCCTTTTCGTTTGCTTGCTGGTCCTTATCATCTTCAGCATCCTTTGCATCTTCTTTCATAACATGATCCTGCAGCTCGTCTACGCTGGACTGGGAGCTTTACTTTTCACTGCAGTGAGTCCTGTGTTTTCTCACACATTCAATGTAAAGAAGCCACAGCTGAGCCACTGCTGCAAAGGCTATTTGTTGCAACTAACCAGTTGACCTGCTACTGAACCCCAAAGAAGCTTCTTTTACTTTTTTTTCCTTTATGCTGCATTGGTTTTTGGTTGTAAAAAAGTAGGTTGACCACGCTCTAAAGGTTTCAGAATGAAAACGATAGAATATAAATGTAGGGCTTCAACTAAAGTTTATTTTGCATTTTTCATTTATCAGTGAATCGATTAATAATCGGATAGCCAAAGGTAACTTTAAAGGGACACTATGCAACATTTTTCAGTTAATTAATGTGTTCCATAACGTTATGGATGATTAAATGAGTCATTTCAGGTTGAACAAAGGTATTCTCGGCCGCCCTGGTGGTCTGTGGGGGAAATACTGCACTTGCAACTGCAGGAGCACCGACCCACACCCACAGGCTCAGAAGTCTCGTGAGAGTCAGTCTTGCTTTACGGCGAGAACTGCTACACCCCCCAGTTAAAAGCATTCTCGTTGCTAGCACAATGGCGATCTTTGTGCAGTTATGCTACGTTCACGCAGCAAAAGCAGCAAAATCGCGTCTGCTGCTTCATTTTTACTGCTTGTACCAGTTTAGTTCTGACGCGTGGCTGAAGCAGCTTTGCTGCTCTGGCTGCCCGGTGCAAAAGTGGCTCTGACGCGCGTTGGGCGGAGCTTCACTATCCTTTCTCTGCCTTGCAGCTATATTTGCTGTGATCAGTGGGAATAAAGTAGTTTTAATATGTGTTTAAGTGAGAAAATACACCTGAAAACGTAATCAGTGCAGTCAGTTCATTCAGATTATTATCCTGCCTTCCATATTTTTTTTCTGTCGGAGCCGCTCAGACCCCCACATACAAGCGGGGCGCCGACAGTATGGATCCCTTCATCAGCAGCGGTTCTCTGGTAGGCTGGTAGGTGTTTTTCATCTAAATAATCCAAACTGCATATTCTGCCGGCAGATTTCTGCATTTTAAGTTAATTTAGGCGTCAATAAACTGTTTAAGAGGAGTGATCCTCAGCGCTGTGTCTCTCTCCCTGCGTTAAACGCGCCCGATGCGCTGCTTCAGCTGCTCAGACGTGCTGCGCCTGGTGCTCAAAACGCGCCGCGGGACCTTTTGTTGCGCCTTGACGCGCGTCAACCATTGACTTTGCATGTAAACTCGCTGCTTCTGTCGCGCCAGCTACGTCCAGTGTGAACGCAGCATTAGTCATTCGCTGCTAAGCTCAAAACAACCGCGCCTGGCTTGACGGAGAAACCAGGAGAACAGCTGAGCATATTTACGACAGTGCACTTTTACTTTCGCCCTCTGGAGGGAGCCTCACTGGAAAATCAACACCGGTTGCATAGTGTACCTTTAAGAAGATTGTTAATTAGATTAAACCAGGTGAAACTAAAACTTTCCCTCTTGAGGAGTTCTGGATAGAGCATATTGACAGACAAAAAAGTTTTTTTTTAACCGCAAAATGTTTATATATTTTTATTTTATAATTTTGAAATAATTACTGCTCTAATTGGGTGCTCTGTCAACTAAATGCATGTTTTACAGTCTCTATAATCCAGTTAGGGATTAATAAATTATTAAATTAGTTGACGATTATTTCAATAAACAATTAATCGCAATTGATCCAGTTAATTGTTTCAGCCCTATATAAATGTAATAAGCAAAATAAGAAAGAGGCATGATAATCGCAGATAAAAAGTACACGGATGTGTGCAACAGATCAAAATCTTTTTGAAAATCTTCTAAACATAGTTCTCACTTCAAACAGATTATTTAAAGCAGCTGTTTCAAAGTGTTCAGCTCTGACCCAGAATAGAAATGCAGAGCCCTGGGACTAAAACTACATAGCTATGGGTCAAATTTTACCTCATCAACGTTTTTTTTTTTTTTGTAGTTCCACAGTTTTTGGAGAAGTGGAATCACTTAAATGCACTCGATGGTTCCTGGTGATCTCACCAACTTACCTTTTTGTTTCTTTGTGCTTCTGATTATTTCATGCACAAATCATTTCCTCTTGGTCCACTGTGAGAAAATGTGGTTATATGTTTTCTGTAAGTAATATCCTCTAACAGGAAATCACTTCACGTCAATTTGGTTTTTAAAGAGTCCAAATCTCACATGGTCCAGGAGTCAGTTGTCTTAAACCGTGGTAGAAGCAAGTGAAATCTTCAAATAAAGGTTATTTTAAAAAACATAAAAGAAGCATATTCTGAATTTTATTAGTATATAAATTCAAAGTTCATGGTGAAACTTTTATATTTAGCATTTTAATACAAACTAGCATTGTTAGAATTATAAAAGTATTTAATAATATTAGTAATTGACCATACCAATATGTGACTGTTTGTATTCGTGTAGTTGGTGTCAACAAAGCCATAGATATGGTTACAGGTTTTTTTATATATTTAACTGTATTATCAAAATAACTAACCCAGCTATTTAATTATGGATGACAAGGTGGGTAGGTTTACTGGAGGGAAGCGGAGTGATAGACTGAATGGTGATGCATTGGTATAAAATGGCAAAGAAATCATTTGGACTAAAGTAAATAAGAAATTAATGACTGAGCAAATACCCTCAAAATCCCATATACTCTTTGTTTTTTTTAATGAGGACAATATTCACCTTTATTAAAATAAATATATTAACAAGAAAGTTAAAGTTTTGTCAAGAATAAAACAAATTTCAAGATTCCATTCAATTCAGTTTATTTATATAGCCCTAATTCCCAACACATGCCATCTCAAGGCACTTTACAGAAACAGTTCAACCAGATCATACAGTCAGACTGATTCAAACTTTTCTATCTAAGGAAAAACAGTTGATTGCATCGACTCATTGACTTAAAGGTAATCCCTCAGACCAAGCATGCTTGTAGCAACAGTGGAGAAGGAAAAACTCCCTTTTAACAGGAAGAAACGTCCAGCAAAACCAGGCTTAGTGTGAGCGGCCGTCTGCAGAGGCTGACTGGGGTTCAAGGAGACGTACAGAAAGAAGCAGAGATACAAAAGGCAACTGTAAACCAGCTCCACATGCTGCCCCGTCCAGGAAACACCCAGTCAGGCAGACAAGCTCTGAGCCAGCTCCCATGTCAGAGGATGGAGAGAACACATCCAGTTAGTCATAGTCAGAGAAACAGGACTACACTGAAAAACAGGCCAATCTCCAACATCTATAAACAAAGGTGTTGATGGCAGCAGCACAGCTGATATTTCTCTCCAGGATAGAGCCACAGCCAAACAGGAACAGACCAGACAAAGCTGCTATGAGAAAAAGCAGAGAGAGCAAAACGTTAGAGATTGAACTAACAGATTCTGCAGAGTAGGAGAATAGAGATAGAATGAAGCAGAATTATGAAAAAGGGTCGCTATGTCCTCCAGCGGTCTAAGCCTATAGCAGCATAACTATAGAGATAGCTCAGGATAACCTGAGCTTCTATAACTATAAACTTTATCAAAAAGGAAAGTTTCAAGCCTATTCTTAAAAGTAGACAGGGTGTCTGCCTCACGGACTTAAACTCAAGATAAAATAGGATGTTAAATACAAAGTGCTGCCATTGCCATAGAAGGGCTTTCTGGTTGGTGATGGTTTGTACCTTGTACAGTATAGTTTTTATAGTTTATATTTATTGATATCTCTGGTTAAGACGTGCAAAAAGCCTATAAATAATTTAATTAATCAGACTTTTTTTTTTATCACAATAGCATAGTAGCCAGGCTGCAAAGGAGCTGCATATTTTTAAGGAGGGGAAAGGATAAACCAAGCTGAATATGACCAGTGCTGCACTTCTGGGCATGTTGAAGAAAAACTCACAGAATGAAAGTATCTGACAGATTTAGACCATTTATACTTCACTTCAGAGGCTCAGTTCTATTAGCTACGCTTCAATATAGGAAAGGAAAGAACACAAATTGTGTTAATGTCCTTAAGTCTGATAATGGTGACCAAGAAAACAGTTTCTGTGCTAAACCTTCCCATATTTATGGTTTGTGTATCTGGACCAGTCATCTTGGCTGGGTCCTGTTATACTAATAATAATCATTGTCTACAGTAACTTCAATAATTAGAGTTAAAACAACTGGAACTATGAGAAAGATGTTGGGTGAAGATTTATGTAAGTTAACGTTCCCACTGTACAAGTCAAAGAGCATGCAAGGCAGGAAGTCCAGACGTCACTATTAGAGCAGAGCTTTTTTAGTGTGATTTATTGTTGAGGTCAACCCTTTTATTACTTCAGAAAGTTTCTACTTCCATATTCAAAATGTGGTGACAGCTTCTGTAATAATGTCTGCTCTTGTCTAGTTTTCATCATAAAATGTGCAACCCCGGAAAAAAAATCCTGCATTTTATGTTTAGTTTTCCTTTGCATTTGTTTGTTTCTCTGGGAGTTTTAGGTAGGGAAAAAATATATAATTATCTTAATAACTAGATCTAGATTTTCCATACTCTGGTAAGAAATCCAAGGCCTTTAGATAATGGCTTCACTTTCATCTGCTTCGTCATTGGATAATCCAAATTAAATTAGATATTAATTAAGAACATTTTTAATATTCAGCTAAAACTGCAATATTATATGTTAACTAGGCCAGATAAAAAAGCACAAAACAGAACTGCAAAACAACAATTTATACATCTTAAAATATATATTTAACCAGCTGAAATATTTTGTTAAATATGAATTATGAAATTATTATAGCTCCTAAAATCAAATATTCACTCCTTTTCTTTACCCTCTTGTCATTGTGGAGTTGTGTGGGTGTCATTATTAAGGACCATTTAGAGAAACCAATTAACAAAACATTTATGTCTTTAAATAAAAAAAGTAAAATGCAAACTTATACAGAAAGACCTCATGATGGAATTTGAAGTGCTGCAAACCATGGCAGCATGCACACCACAATAGTTATGCAACTAAACCTGGATAAACCCTGATTTAAAGGGATACTCGGCCTGATAGCTTCTATGGTTAATAGGTTAATTTTTTTTTTTTTTTTTGCATTAGATTTTATTTAAATTATCAAACTGAGAGGGTGTTGTACTCCATGCAGAATTTCTGATAATGTCATTTGGTTTTAATTTGTACTGTACACTAAAAAAGTATCACAATCGAAAGATTGTTTAGAAGCAACGTTTCATGTTTATTTTATTTCTGGTTGCAAACCTTCAGGCTCTTGTTGTCAATAGTATTTTTGACTGATTTAAAATTACATTTAAAGCTCTTGATAAAAACACCTGGTTTAGATTACACTGGCGACGATTATGAGGCACACTGAGAAAAAAAATGCTTAAAAAATATATCATTATTTAAACCCCATTAATACCATTGCAATGGATAATTTCATAATTACTTGTTTTCTTAATATCTTGGAACCCCATTTGAGGGCGTAAAATGCCTTTAAATTTCATTGAAGTTTGGTCTTTACACCAGAGAGGAAGAGAAAATAGTGTTGTTTTTTTTGTAAATGTATCTGTAAATGAATTTAAACATAACCTACCTGGCTGTAATGAAACGTCAGCAGACTGCTATTGACTCCCATTAAATGTTATATTTCAACTCATATTACAGATTTAATTAAAGTTATGAATGAACATCTTAATTAATAACATAATTATAATATAATATTTATAATTTATAATTCAGGTACATTACGTTCTAACAACAGGGTTCATTTAGTTTTAGATTTCGTCCTGTTTAGAGATGCAGCATTAAAGCGTTTGACCCAGGTTGGCTTTCCTTGTGCCTTTCAGTTCTTGGCGGTGGACACCCAGCTGCTGCTTGGCAACAAGGAGCTCTCACTGAGCCCAGAGGAATACGTCTTTGCTGCTCTCAACCTCTACACGGACATCATCAACATCTTCCTCTACATTCTTGCTATTGTGGGCAGAGGCAGAGGCTGAGCGAAGGCAGCAGCTCAGACAGAAAAGTAGTTTGGAATAAAGAGTGTCCGTAATCAAAGCCTTCCATTTGCTTTCTAGCCTGTATTTATAGGACCAAAGACCATAAATCATCATTTGTAGTGTGATGTATGTTTTTCAAAAGCTGTCAGCAGCAAGGGCTGAAATGGCATTGAGAAGAATAGGAAGAAAAAACTAAAGCTCCCGCTTAAAAAAAAAAAACGTATTAAAAAGTGACTACAAAGTGGTTGTTTGGATAGATTTCTTCTGTTTTTCCAAAGTACTGTTTTAAATCTGCACTGTTTTCCCAACGATGCTTTAAAGTCTTAAGTACTTTTGTAAACCTGATGTGTTTTCTTTCTATACAATAAAATTTGTAAAATGCATTCTATTGTAGTGATGTTTTGATTTAATTTGTTTTCAGCTGAGGTCTGGGTAGTTAGGGGTGCTTTTACCAGCACTGTATCCAACACCTTCACAATGAGCCTGGAACAATCCACAGCACTCTTGCAAGCAGAAAATGAGCAACTAAGGCTGGAAAATGCTCATTTTAGAAGCGCTCTCTTGGAATACGATGAGATGAGGTCCAGGATGCAGAGAGACCAGGGCCAACAGACTGGTTTTACAGGTAAGGCGTTCCTCTTAACCACCAGGTGGTAGGCTTGGCTTTCATAACATGCCAAGATTTCTTTTTTGTTCTACCTAAATTAGATATACCCTGAATCCCTAAGATTTAAATTATGGTGACATGTTTTCAGTTGAAATTGTAATAAGATAGTCTGGCTGTTCGATTAACAAAATAATAGAGTTAAATTTTACCACAGCTTTAATATAGCAGAAGTTGTAAAGTATCCAACCTTTGACTTTTGAAAAAGCAAAAGGACTAGAAACACTGTCTTCTTATTTTTGTCTAGGTATGAAACTTGTTTTCTAATAAATATGAACACATGTACATAAAAAGATTTAAAGTGGTCTTTTCATATTAAAATATAGATGCTGCAAAGTTGTGTTTTTCATAACTGCCTGCTAGTCTGCATTTAGTTGGCATGGTAACGAGCAACTGAGCATGCTGAGGGATCCTTACAGGCAGATCTGCTGCTTTCACTGTTGTGGTTTTAAATCAGATAATCACAGCACCATCACCTTATGAATTTAGAAGCAGACCCAGACATTTGTCATGTAGCTGGAAAGATTTCTTCTGCTATTAAGGGCCAGTTAGATTCAAAATTGTTGCTATGGGGATGGTTAAATAATAAACACATTTTGCTCACTTGGCCCTTGTATACAAGCTTTGTTTGTACCTGATGCTATTATAAAAGTAATCCATCCATTCATCCAAGGGGTGACATATTCAGAGAGTGTAGCTTGCATCATGCAGGTCAGATCTAAGAATAACTGTTCTGTTCTTAATCCGCATAGTTTTCTGTTTTATATAACTTGCTACTATTAAAGCTTGTAAGTGACAGAAAATGTGTGAGGACTCAGTGATTATTACAGTCAGGATTTTTATAAAAAAAAAAAAAAAACAATTTCAACAGAAAATAAAATTGCTCTAACCTGAGAGTTTATATATTAACTATGAAACCTACTTTAGAAAATATTTATTCAAAGACTTTCATTACTCTGGTGCCATATTACAGTATTCATTTGTTGTCATTCATTGCATTGCAGATTCTGCAGGACTTTTTTTTACTTGTAAAGATGTATAGCTATGATTTCTAACCGTAGGACTTAATAACATCATAAAAAGAGTTTAACCCCGTTTAAAAACATATTAACAACATTTGTTCTTTACAAACATCCATTCCTTTTTGTTCAGATTATTAGTTGTTCCGGATAAGGTTGTCAGCACTTTGATCTGGCAGCCATTATATGACATGAATTTTATACTCACCATTAATAATAATGGACCAAACCTTTTTATTGTTGTGGTTCCATACACTAGGCATGGACTCTAGAGGCCTGCAGCATAACAACATTGAAGAGCAACAATTTGGGAGAGACCTGCAGCAGGACGGATGCAAACTGCAGCACAGAACATCGTCTCCGGTTAACTTCAAGTCTTTCCTCCAAAGTGCAGCGCTGAAAGACGCTGAAGAAGCTGGAGAGCTTCACAAGACACAAGCTGATGTTCCTCCTTGCGCCATCGGTATTTCATTTAGAGGGGATTGATACAGCAGGTACATTTTTTTGTGCTTTTGTATTTCAGTAATTTTGTTTTCTTTTAGGTTCAACAAGGCTGCTTGGTGAAATTGCCTATCAGCTGGATAGGAGGATTCTGTCCTATGTTTTCCAGGCTCATCAGAGACTCTATGGTTTCACACTCCGCAATATACCAGAGAAGATCATTGAGGTAACAGCTTTCTCAGAAGCAAACCTTAATGGTTTTAAAATTGCTCAGAAGGGAATCGATCGAAAACAGCTAAAACCAAAGATGGAAGTTTCTGTTTGGCTCAACAACTTCTGCTTTTCACAGCATTTTGAAAGTAAATACAGACTGAAAATTCCCCTGAGAGAATACAAGAAGTAATAAATGTCCCTTCATCTCTTGCAGGTGAGCACACACCCTCTGACGGGGAAGATGGATGGGGCCTATCAGCTCCACCTCACTCAAAGGTACAAAGACATTATGGAGATGCTCAGCCAGTTTGGCTACAAAGCAGCTCTCCACCCTCCTTTCTGTGAGTTTGTCGTCAATACATATGGGATCCTGATGGAAAGGCCGAGTAGAAGCAGCACCCAAGAGGCTGACTACAATAATCCAGAATTTTTGAAGAAGCTGATAGAGAACACGGCTCCAAAGAAACTGCAGAAGGACCTGCTGCTGGTGCTCTCTTGTCTCTGCTTCATCGCAGAGAAGGACAAGGAGCCTCTCCTTGCATGGTAGTCATCACTGCAACCTAGGAGAATTCAAACCTTCCTGAAATAAATAATGAGGCATGAAGATTATTGTTTCAGTGTTTTCAGTTTGCAGAAAAAAAGATGTATGTGCTGCTAGATGAGCTGTTGGAGGCATTGGTCAGACTTGGGGTGTGCAACTTTAACAAGATTGAATTTTGATGCAATTATGTCTCAAAGTTTCTCAGGGTATGTATATATGAACTTGAAAAATCTAAATGCAGAAGTTTGGCCCAGTGCTATTGTTCCATCAAGCTCTGTAGATGGATATAAAACATCACTTTTCAGGTCTTAAATTCTTAATTGAAATTCAGGTCCAGTCCATTCTAACATTATTTATTTATTTGCGTTGCCTTGCACAAGTTAAGTTTATCTCCTGTATATAACTGTTAATTTCTCTTTTTTATAAGAATGAAAAGTGGAGATTCCTACTTGAAAATGTAAACAAATGTTTTTGCTCAATAAAGTTTGGATCAAAAAAGGAAAGGAGAGGAATTAAATGGGCAGATATGAACTGCATGTCGCTTCATAATACGATCAGAAAAGTTTTTTTTACTTCTTTTTAGATGATAAAATGTCTTGAGGCAGGTGAAAAAAAAATGGTTTAGATTTCAGTTTAAAAATATTTGACAGCTCTCCAACGTGTCTTAACTTGGATGCATGTAAATCTCGAGCCAACGCATCTCTATAGCAAAGATTGCGCTTACACAAACTGTAAAGATGTGAAATTTACGCAACAAACAGTGCAACAAACTTTCAAATGCTTTGTTATAAACCATTCAATTGTTGGAATTAAGGGGTATTAAATAGAAATACTACAGATGCGCAGTATTGGATTTATGGACAATATCTGATGTTATGATATTTAAAAACTCTAAATGGCTGATAACCGATAGTGATGAGTTGTTTTCCCCCAAACCTACCTATTGACACTTTGTATTTTTGTCTTTCTTGTCCTTCACAGTCACTACAAATACCAGCCTTGTTATTTATCTCTAAACTTTAAAAAAAAAAACATCCACACCACTGACATTTTAACTTCTGAATCTCTCCTAATGACCATTAGGTGGGTGCATGAGACCTGCTGGCATATTCCTCAACTTTATGTCACAAAACAGCACCTTATTGGTGCAATGGCTAATGTCAGATATTTAGAAATGAATAACAGTCAATAACATAATAATGATATTGTGCATCCCTAACAAATACATAGACAAGTTTTTGTAAAGAAAAACACAGTGGGGCCAGTGATTTTTCATGGAGGAACAGAACAAAAGAATAACAAAATGAATAACAGCACAAGAGCATAAGTTATATTCTATTAATGGAGCCACACAATGGTAATTTTTAGATAACATTTTAAGTAAACTGTAAAGGCGAGACGTTCAATGATTTTAAGGGACAAATCGGTTATGCTTTACTATTACACTGCAAAAACTGATCCTAGAAAATTAATGTTCCTTTAAATTAGTGTATGTGCCCCTAATTTGATTAGGTAAATGGATCACCTTTGGCCCTTATAATAACCTGATTTGATACTATGCCCTTGAAATAAGATCATAGTTGTCTTTCTTTTTTTCTTTTTTTTTATAAATCATCTTATTCCTTTATTCATTTGCTTGGATCAATGTAATATACAAATATTTCTAGAATTATTAACTCACATGCATTTTCTAGCAGCTCATCTTTTCAGTACAGCAGCCATAACAGGAGCCAAGACCAATTCTAGAGGGGCACTGGCCCCTGTTGGCCCCCATCTGGAACTGCCTGGGATGTGCCACTGGAAATAAGAAGTTCAAAACGAAAACGAAGAGAAAATAACAAAAAAAAAAAAAGCCTTGAAATGTAAATGAGTTTTTTTTTCTTTTTTTAATGAATAAAGCGCAATGACGCATGTGGTGGGGGCGGGGCTTAAATCAAGCAGAACAGGAAGGGTTTACGTTTCAAAGTGCTGCTTTTACTGGTGTGGTGGGTTTTTATTATTATTATTTATTTCACTTCACAACCTTCATGTTTTGCTGTGGATATTTGATTAACAAAAATAAAGAAGCGATGTGAAAACATGAGCTCCTAATGAATGGCCTCATCACACGGACTTCCGCGGGTGTCCCCTTCAGGTGCGACCAGCTGATCAAAGGCAGCAAAAGGCAGCAAAGGTGAGCGCCATAATCCAATGAGACTTTATAAAGCATCATAATCCAATAACCTCAGATTATAACCTAGCTTTGACATGAATCGCTTTTATTTTATATAAATATGCCTCCCTGGATCCTTATGAAAGCTCACAGCCTTGCAAATGAGCTGTGTGTGATTTTTAACTTTAAATGTTGCAGAACAAGTTTTACTAAAGTATCCTGTTAACTCTCTGTCTCCCAGCTGTTGTAGAGAGCGTTTTACATGTGTAAATACACAAAGGTGTGGTGTTCAGGTCACATCCACAACACTATAGAATATAACTGATGCATACCACATGAAATGACTGTTTCACTCTGTGTATAGTATTCAGTATATTTTTATTGTTACTCTACAGTCATTTGTGTTAATCTGTTTAATTTAAGTTTAGCTGACATGCTTAGACAAAGTGCTGCAAAAATTAGTTTTTCTTCAAAGCAAGGTAGCATATTTCAGAAAATAGAGTTGCGTCTTTGTATTTTTCAATGCATGCATGGACATGCAGGCGGAGACATTTCCTGGGAACTCCTGTGCAGGTTGACACTGTGTGCAAAGGAGGCCACACCTTTGTGTTTTTGTTTTCTCTTCTTTAGAGTGCGGCAGAGTTCTGGGAAGAAAAAATCTACCTTTGAAATAAGAGCAGAGCTGGATATCTGGATGCTGTTCATCCTCCGTTTTGTTTAGAACCAGTGGACGGCCATGGTTCTGCGGGCGTCAGCCTTTTCCAATGGGTTTCTGGCCGCTATCCACGCCTTGGGGTGGGCTTTGATAGTGCCGGGCTTCTGGTACCTTGATCGTGTTCTTGCCGTGTGCAAGTCTACCACAAAGGAGAGGAGTGAGCGACAGGGACAAGAATGCTACCTTCACCCCCTGAATGTCTTCCTCGGCTCCATTTTCTTCCTCCTGTTTTTCCTCCTCACTGCCCCCTTGGCTTTCCTGGGTTTTCTGCTATGGGCGCCGCTCCAGGCCTGCCGCCGGCCGTTCTCCTACCACAGAGCGGAACCGACCTCAGCAGCGAGAGAAACAAACCGAGGCTTTGAACTAACAGGAATGGCGTCGTTTACCTTTGCCTCAGCCAACCTGTGTCTGTTAACGGATGGCCTGGCCCGCTTCAACAACCTGGGTCACACCCAGCATAGGGCTTATGAGATTGGCAAACGTATCTCTGAGAGTGTGGGGCGAGCCCAGGTGGTGATCACAGTGGAATCCCCCAGCAGCTGTGGGCCTCTCAGCCCCTCTGACAGCATCATACCCAGAGCATGCTCAGATGCAGATGGAGAGACAGAGGGACAGCCTCAACCCGGTGGACATCATCAGTCAGAACCAGCAGAAAGCTCTGCTTCCTTTAACGGTGTAGAGGCCAAACTGACAGAACGCTCCTCTTCCCAAGCCAATTCTAATGAGAGCCCCAACAAACGGGGGCAGTCGGATGATGAGAGTCCTGCTGCTTTGTTCTCCAGGCGTCCTCGTCAGCAGGATGAGGAACCCTGGGAGGTGTCGTCGCTCTTTCCAGCCTGCGTCGACATACTGTGTCTGGAAGAGGTGTTTGATAAGAGAGCTGCAAAAAAGCTCACCAGAATGCTGAAACCACTGTATGGACACATCCTGTACGACGTTGGGGTGTACGCCTGCCAGCCGCCCTGCAGGTGTTCTACTTTCAAGTTCTTCAACAGTGGCCTGTTCTTGGCCAGTAGATTCCCGGTGCTGGAGGCCGAGTACCACTGCTTTCCTAACAGCAAAGGGGAAGACGCCCTGGCGGCCAAGGGTCTGCTCTCTACTAAGGTGCTTATAACACTCACAATGACCAGGTTTCCTGATATAAGTGCTCTGATTGATGGATGGATGGATGGATGGATGGATGGATGGATGGATGGATGGATGGATGGATGGATGGATGGATGGATGGATGGATTTAAAGATGTATGGAGTGGCTGCATTTGTTTCTATAGTAACCCTAAAATAAGGTCATAACTGTTGGCTTTTTTTTAAATCTCCAGATGCTTATTGGACAGAATCAGAAAAAGAAGAAAGTGGTTGGTTATTTCAACTGCACACATCTTCATGCACCAGAGGGCAAGTCCCAGCTTCACATTTGCTTCATTCAAATAGATTTGACTTCTTGAAGAGCAAAGGTGAGTCTGGTTTGTGATGACGTTCCTGTGTTGTCATCAGGTGAGGGAAAGATTCGCTGTGACCAGCTGGACATGGTCAACCAGTGGATCAGGGCTTTTCAGGACACCCACAGACAGCCTGATGAGGAGGTGGTCTTTGACGTCCTCTGCGGGGATTTCAACTTCGATAACTGTTCACCAGGTTCGTCTCTTTCACTGTCGTTGGTATTTTGTTCCTGTTTCAGACATTTTTATCAGTGTTACTTTAAAGCCCCTTTCAGATGCCTTCTGATAAGCGTCTGGTTTTTCTAGATGACGTGCTGGAACAGAATCACAAACTGTTTGAGGAGTACAGAGATCCATGCAGAGCAGGACCTGGAAAGGAGAAGCCCTGGGTGATTGGTTGGTATAAAATGAACTATTTTAAATTAGACTACATACACTTTGTGTGACTTCAGAGAGGAGAGGTTTAATTGAAACACACACAGTGCTTTTTTTGATCAAATAGAACATATTGAAAATCACGTTCTTCCACTTGACAGACAATTTGATGCTGGTTTGTCATTAGAAAGTTTCTCTTCAAGATTTTTTTGGTTCTAATATGACAAAATGTGATAAAAGTACTTTTTCCAGCAAGGTACTTCCGTGTAGCAAATGTTGACAGTTCTGATTGGACACTGTCATTACTGTGTTCTGCTTCTGAAGGTACTCTGCTGGAGCAGCCCACTCTGTACGAGGATGATGTGAGCTCTCCAGAAAAGCTTCAAAGGTCATTTTCTTTTATTCATTTTTTTGGTGTTTTCTTTTATTCACTGCAGCAGCAAAATTATGATGAGAGCAGCGGTATCTAAATTTCATCTAATCCTTACAGTGACATGACAAGCTCTCTCTTTGTCTCTGTAGGACTTTGGAAACAGAAGAGATGAGGAAGCAGTACATCTCTCCTCCTGTTGCTCAGGAAGGAGTGCCTCTGGTTTACCCAGAGCCTGGCCAGCCATGGATCGGACGTCGCATTGATTACATTCTCTACCGTGAAACTTCCATTTCAAAGCTGTGCAGAACGGTACATTCCTCATTGGTTTTTTTGTTTTCTTTCTTCCTCTGCTCGGTTCTCATTTAAGCCATGTTCCTGTGTACCATCCTATTAAATATCCTAAAAAACTGATATTTTATCAAAGCCATGTAACACCGACATATTTGGGTTTCCTTTTTCCCATTCAGGAACTTGAAGAGGTGACCTTCATAACTCAGCTGGCTGGGCTTACTGATCATATTCCTGTTGGGCTGAGGCTGAAAGTCATAATGGACTCCGAGTTTGAAGATGAATGAATGCACATTTCATCTGGAGGCGAATTGACACTATTTTATCTAAACTGTTTTACTCAAATACTTGAATTTGTACATTAAGAAAAAAATTACACTTGGTCAGTTTATGCCTCAGGAAACAATTTATTTTTTATCACTTTGTTGTGGTTTCACATTTCATGCATGTTTTATACATTCAGAGCTGCTCACAGTTGTTTCTTTGATTTTTTTCAAACCTCTATTTTTTTTTTTTATCAAAAAAGGAAGTTAAAAAGTTAATTAAACAATTTTCACTGTTATAATGTGAAATATCTGACTGTTATACTATAAAGTGAATAAACTTTGCATGGATGATCATAAATTTGTTATCTCTCCTAATCAAATTGATGCTTTTCAAAATCTGTTTATTTTGGGGTTGGTTTTCATTAGGAATGCCCCGATGCGAAAATCTGAGCTGATATCTGATATTATTGCAGCTATGTTGATAACCAATATTTAGCAATATCATATATTTCCCTGCCTCAGTTTACTACCCACCATCCTGGGCTCTATCATGATTATTGTCACATGATCAAATAAATACCACATGACCGATCCCCACAAAACAAAAGCAAAAAATACATGGAGTTAAATATCAGTTGTCAATATTGACCCAGTTTTATTGATTGGACCAATACCTATATACTTAAAACTGGCCATCATTGCCCACTACTGATGTTAATGCTGATCCCTAGGTTTATTAAATCAGTCAGCAGTGGATAGATTAGTGTGATTACTTATAGCTGATTTGGCTGTGTTGACCTAGTGGTTAGAGCAGTGCACTTGTGCTCTGAGAAGGTTCGATCCCCACAGCCTGCACTTTGGGTCCTTGAGCAAGACCCCTAATACCCCACTGCTCCCAAAGAGGGTGGGTTAAATGCTTTATTGTGTGACAATAAAGGGATTTACATTTGTGCAATAATTTGTCCAGAAATGGTTTATATATATTTAAATGAATGATAAGTATTAGGAAAATAATAAAGTAGTAGATATCTATAAGGATTGAAATATTTTTTGTGTGGCATTGTTCAAGATAAATTCAGTGTACTGATAATGTTACTTTCATACAATTATAACCCAAATTATTCATACTCTTAAGATCTAATGTAGAAATAAATAAAACGATGAATATGAATTATGGAAATTATAATATACGTTTTTTTTTTTTACTTTCCTGGTTGACTTTAAAGTAATTTTCAAGATAAACCCAATATGATGCTAATCTTTGATCGCATTGCAGATGTAGACCTTCCTCGTCGCTAGAGGGCGCTACATTCGAGCAGTCCGTGCACTACGCAGAAAACAACGAAATACTAAGCCAACCAATCAGAATCCAAGGACAAGACCCACTTCCTGTTATCGCCGCTCGTGTCAACATTAACAGTTTGGGTCTACAGCTTATAAATAATGAGTATTTTGTGTAGATCAAGGATACTGCTGTCTTCAGTTTGTAGGATAAATAGTTTAGTAGATAAATCTGCTATTTCTAAATGCGTCAGTTTGTTAGCAAAAGCTCAGCGCCACAGATTTAATGTTGATTTATCATTATCCCACCAACACTGGCGTCAGGGAACGTTTCTCGTGTGTGGCCTCGAATCAAAAAGGTGTTACTCAGTCAGAGGTGAGAGCAGCTTGACAGAAAGACCTGAAAAATTAGATGAGGAAACCGATGTGGAGTCGAAAGGACAAGGAAGAGGCGTCAAAACCCGAAGCCAGGGTAAGATTTCTGTACTAAACAATCCCTTCCAGCATCTATTATGAACCATAATGAAGCTGTTACCTTCTCTCTGTCCTATATGTTCGATGTTATTTCTTATATAATTCTCTATATGATATAAGGTCACATATTATCTGAGTTATTAAAAAGATTATATAATTCATTGTACATTTTTCTTTAATTCCCTTAATTACAAAGGTTTCAGATTAGGGTTGTCACTAGAGTCTTAAATTCTGTGATATTAAGGAAATATTTAATACTCTGTATCATTTTATATTAAACATATGACAAGTAGTTAAAGGCATGAAAAATTAAGGAATAAATAACTTTGAAAAACTGAATCTTTTCAGAATAATTATGTATCATGTTTTCACAACAGAGTTACAGATGCTAGTTAAAGAATTAACCCAAAAATCTAAGATTAACTGTAGACAAAATATGAAAACAAAACTTGTTTTAAGTATTGATCCCATGCCCAATTAGTACTGAATCTGGACACAGTGCTTGAGTATCGATTCTTTTTTACAACCCCAGTCAAAAGGTACTCCGATTCTTTACAATGACCTTTTTTACCTCTAACTGGAAACAAATACCTGTTTAAAAAAAGACAAGTAAAAGCACTGACACCTTTATTTACCGGTACGTTAAAGTAAGAAAGGTACAGATTCGTCATTGTAAGAAAAGTTAAATTAAGTTTTTATCTTAAATGATAGAAATCACATCACAATCACTGTCACATGACTAAACAAATGACATATCACTGATCCATTCCCTCTCCTGAAAGAAAAAACAAATACATGGAAATAAATATCGTATGCATCCTCACCAAACCAGGATTCTAAGAAAAGGCCAACAGTGATCAGTACCGATATAATATCAGTATATTCTGCACCCCTAGTTTCAAAAATAAAACTTGTCAGTTTTCTCTCTTTAATTTTCCTAAATTGTAAAAGTAGTAACAGGTCCAGAGCACAGATTGTTTATTTTTTTCAACTCAGTGAAGTCAAAAACAGATCAGATTTATTCATTTGGACAGCAGTGCATTGCCCAAAATCTATATAAGTCACCTTTTTCAGTCTAACTTTCATATTCAGTTTTTATAAACCATAAAAAAAGAAAAATATATAAAATAATGATATAATAAATACTTAAAAATAAAATAATGATATAAAAAATGCTTAAAAAAATATACAATATCTTTTTATTACTTGAATATTTTCAGTGTAAGAAGATGTTTTTATTCCCCCCCCAGAGTTCTCTGAGGTGTTCACCCTTGATGTCCTGGTGTCTTTGCTGCGTCAGGAAAATGCGGTGGACCTGTGTGTGATAAAAGTGCCAGATAATGTCCAATACGCTGAGTTCTTCATAGTGGTCAGTGGTGTATCACCAAGACACCTCCGTGCCATGGCTCTCTATGCCATCAAAGTGGTAACTCTTACTGATTTCCTCTCTATTAGATATTTTCATAGATTCAGTTTCAGAGCCTGTGCTAACAATTGCTCTCTCTCTCAGTATAAGTTTCTGAGGAAAGACGGAGAGCCACATGTTAGGGTTGAAGGCAAGGATGCAGAGGATTGGATGTGTGTCGACTTTGGTGCGTAGATCCCATCGTTTAAAAAAAAATGATTTATGCCAATTGATCTTAACTGTTAAATTGTTTGTTTTTTTTCCTCATCAGGAAATATGGTTGTTCACTTCATGTTGCCTGAGACCAGAGAGGTATATGAACTGGAGAAACTGTGGACTCTCAGGGCCTATGATGAGCAGCTTAAGAAAATTCCTGCAGAGTCACTACCAGAGGACTTCATACTTGATGCCGAGCTCACAAAGTGACTTTATTTCTAATAATTAAACAAAATCTAAGGTTAACCAAATAATTTAAACTTTCTTGTCAACATTTAAGTAACTGGTTAGTGGAAATGTTTCAAATAAAACATGTTTTATTTAAAACAAGACTGGTCCTTTGTTTTTCTTTTAACGTGTATAAATCCAGCTTTCTACTTTATTGATATCTGCTGCACACTCCCCATTTAATGCAGACCTGCCGTAGATATTGAAGAAGCCCTAAAATAAGCATCTTTTATTGCAGTAGTATAATCTCACTAATCTTTACTGTTTGTTACTGTTAAGTATTTTTGAACTTCCTAACATTTTAATGGATGTAGATATGAGCAAATTTAGCCACACACTTTTTTACCTGTCTCCCTATCCTGACTTTTTAAGACCGACACACATCTGACTCATTTGAAGGTTATTGTTCTTCTATCTTTCCTTTTTAATTGGGTGGATAAGAGAACTGAGTCTCTTAGATTGAATTTGGCCTAGACAACAGAGGGTTAAGGATAACTAAATAACATTTCCTGTAATATTGGATCAACCTGGAAAACGAGTGGTAATGACACAAAAAGTCATTTATATTTTAGAAGCACTAAATGGAGTAATTTTTAGTTCTTACCCTACTATATAAATGTACAATAATATGTTTATATTATTGTAGAATGAAGCTAGGCTACAGCAGTTAAATAGGATTCTGTTTTAAAGCTTCATTTTTATTTAGATGGTAATTAACGTAGAGAACATTATGATTTAAACAAGTGTGTCTTTTTTGTGAAATCCTTTTATGTAACATAAAATGGGTTTAAGGGCAGGTGTTACCATATTTGGATCCTTGGAAATAAATAAACCCTAACTTACACAAAGTGTGCCTTTTCCTGAGATGTAAACATGAGGGAGCGGTGGCCTGGTGGTTAGAGCAGTGTTTTTCAACCCTGGTCCTCAAGGCACACTGCCCTGCATGTTTTAGATGTTTCCCAGCTTTCGCACACCTGTTATCAATTGATAGCAGATTATCAGGATTTGCTGAACTGCAATCATCTGAATCAGGTGTGCTGAAGCTCAGAAACATCCAAAACATGCAGAGCAGTGTGCCTTGAGGACCAGGGTTGAAAAACACTGGGTTAGAGCATGGTGTGGATCTAACCCCACAGCCTGAGGAAAACCATTAGTCCTAGATTTCTCTCTGGGCATTTTAAGAAGTCTACTGCTCCCTAAGGTGTGCTTAGGATTTGCATGAATATTTTATACCTCAACAGACATGGAAGGTTTCTAGGTTGCCTTTAACAATTTAAAGTCCAAACAAAAAAAAATTTAATGAAGCTATAACATATTTAAACCCGAGAACGAATAATTTGCAGAATTAAACTAAAAGTAAAACTGGAAGAAAAAAGAAAAAAAAAATTTCTGCTTTTACCCAAAAAACAATTTACAAAATTCAATGTTTATATTTAATCTCACTAACATTAGTGAACATTATACAGTGTGTAAATCCTTATTATACACCGTACTAGTGAGACACAAAGATATTTTATTGGAAAAATATCTTTACAATGTAAACAGTTCAATCGATCAGTAGAGAGAAGGAGGAGTTCAGGCAAATCCTCCACCTGGAAAGCTGTGCAGAAGCAACAGTTTGCCTGTTGAGTAACCTTCCAATTACAGCACTGACTCACGGCTGTTCAATGTGTTTAAAAGGGAATAAAGATCAAGCAAGTGATTTTAACTTGATGCTTTCTACAAGCCAAACTATTTGATCTTACATGAGAAAC